CAGCGTGTGTCTACTCCATCTCCAATTTTCTTTGCATATTTGTTCGGTGATAGCTTTTCGGTTGGTTCGTTACTAGGCTCCTTTCTGACAGGCTCTCTGATCATCAGTATGGAGCAAAGACTGCTGTTAATTTAAGTCTGAAGCCTGTTAGAAATGTTTTTTGTGACGCACCAAGTCTCCGGACCATATAGAAGCGCTTACTTGTCATTGATGTTGAAAATATTAATCTTTCCCTTTATGCTCAGTGCTGCATATTTTTACACTGATATCAGAGTAAAACTGGTCTGTCTTGCTTTTCCGACCCCAAGCGACTTGACATCCTCATCAATGCAGTTGAAATGATACCTTTAATTTAAATGAAAGGGGTGATTTTCCTTAGATTTCATCCGTTGTGATAGTGATTGGTTTTTTTAAGATAAGATAAGATAAGCTTTATTCCAAATCAGTACTTGTGATACAGAATGGAATTCTCAGCATTTTACTACAATATTGCATCCAGTTAGTACATTAACAATAAATATAGTTCTACATAGATTAAGGTTATCTCAGTCAGTTTTGACAACAACATATTGCCATGTCGGTAGCAAAGCCAAAATTAAACAGAAAGCTTGAAGGTACTAGAAAAGTAGATACTACTAGCATATTTACTGGCGTAAGCGATAGCAAAATGGTCGAGGTATACAAAGGGTGAAAGAACGAACAAGAATATTTTAAGTAGAGTTTGCAAGGAAAAGAGAAACATAACAAAAAAAATGGTAGAGAGAAAACGTTGTACCTGTAAATGATGTGACTTGGAAAGACGAGATCCATTTGTTCTACTGACTGTTTAATAAGTTAAAGGTTTCACGCCTAATGCTTTCTTTATCACACAGAACACGAGCTAGGTAGGGTATGGATGAGTTTTTGTACTTGCTAGTGTGGGCAAGTTGGTTGGTTATCCTCATCACCTCTGTCTCCCCTATGTTCACGTGAAGTTCTGTCTTTGATGCTGGCAAGCATATTCTGCAAATTGGTTGGTTTTCACCTGTAGATCTTCCAGTTTGTGTGACATTGGACATAAATCCTCGACGGAGTCCAGATCTTCTAGTGTCTTTTTTCGGTCCTATGTATGCATGTCTTCTTGCACCCCACAGTCTGTTGCATGGTATAGTCTATCGCAGTCATGAGTATCATCAGTGATAGTAGGTGGCCTTGTTTTACAAGTGATAAATAAAGAATCGGAGCACACCATAGAGTCGAAGCACTTTCTAGGTTTTAAAAGGCTTAAATCTCCCATCTTTGGTAGTTTGACAGAGTACCAAGCTGCGGCTTACCTATATATATATATATATATATATATATATATATATATATATATATATATAATCGACAAGTAAAATACTGTCGCATTATCCTGGCGAAAATAAAAGAAGCACTGGATGCAGAACTCCGCCACCTCACCGGGACAAGCTGGATTCAAGAAAGCAAATCTTGTGCTGATCAAACTGCCGCTCTTCATATCGTCATCACAGGAGAAAGCATAGAATGGCAGTCAAATTCCCCCCCCCTATCTCAACTATATCGACTTCGAAAAGGCTTTCGACAGACAGCGTTAACTGAGAAGTAATTTGGAAACTGCTTCAACACCATGGCGTGCGATGCCCAAATCTTCATTAACTTCATCCAACAGCTGGATATATGACAATGCCACGTGTCGGGTTATCCACAATGGAAAGCTCAGCAAGGCATTTGAAGTGAATACAGGACTCAGACAAGTCTTGCTGTCTAATATCACTGATGATATTCTTAACTGTGGTGCACTGAAGTATGCATCAGACAGTGCATGGGAGCTACAATACAGGAATACGCTGGACCGATAAGAAGGCTTTAGAAGATCTGGATTTCGCGGGTGGATGACTTATGTTTAATGTCATACAAACTCGAAGACTTGAAGGTGAAAGCCAATGATCTACCTTAAATGGCAGGCAGCGAAGACAAGACTCCAGGTGAATATAAAGAAGACGGAGGCTATGAAGATAACCAACAAACCGCAACAACAACCACCACCGATCACTACCAACGGAAGCAGCTTGACAGAGGTTACTTCCTCCGCTTATCCGGCTAGGAGGCATCGTTTCAACCACAAGAATCTCGTACGGATGAAGACGTCAGGATCAGAAAGGCAACATACGCCTTCATCAACCTGGAACCAGTTTGGAAATCTTCTGCATTCCGTAGCATAAAGAATAAGATTCGGATTTTCAACACAAATGTGAAGTCAGTCAACTGCACTGAGTGTCACAAAAAGGATCTCCAACAGGCCAATACAGACTTTTACCAACAGCTGCCTTCACTATCTCCATACTGAAGATCAAATGGTCAGTTGGCCAGCCAGGAAGAATTAGGAACAACCAGCTTTGTCTGGGAACAAACCAACGAAGAGCCGATTGCTCAACAGATATGTAGGAGAAAATGGAGGTGGATTGGGCATACACTGAGGAGACCATCGAATGACATTCACGCACAATTCAGACCATCGCTGGAGTGGAATCCGAATGGGAAACGACGAGTGAGTCGTCAGTGCTAGGGTGACATAGAGAAGATAGTGTGGCGAGGAGGAGGTGAGGGATTATGGGCAATCATGGACCCAAGTGAAGAGGACAATAAAAAATGGAACAAAGTACAGATGTGTTGATGAAGCCCTATGTTCCACTCCGAACCCAAGGGAATAATAAATATAATAATAATAATTTTAGAACAATCGCATTAACAATATTGATGTTTTTTAAATAATATCGATTTGTCAAGATCGAAGAAATCACAGTTCAGGAAAGATGCATAGGTTAAAATAGGCATAAAAATGTGACAGTAAATAGAATATGAAATAAAATTAAGGAAATCTCTACAGGAAGATTACGGATCATTAAAACCTCGATGGCCAGATGGGTAAGGAAAGCTTCTAAACCAATTTCTTTTAGACACATAGATTAGGCTTCTTAATGTAGTTTGCAACAGCCTAAGCAATATGTAATTGCCGAACTCGAGGTCAAATTAAGCTTAATTGATATACAGCAGATGACTTTTAAGGCCTTGTTTACATCAATTTTTTGTTATGTATCTACGAGATGGACAGTATAGAACTATGAAAGGACTTTATTTCTCGATAAAGAAAGGAAGACGAAATTTGCAGTATAAAATGATATCGTCATTCTATTTCACAGGTTCTCATCAGCTGCACACCATTACCTGAAATTACAATGATTATATAGATGATAACATAATTTAATGTTTGAGTGGTAGTAGAGAAGAGATCCTATAAAACCGACGCATCCAAAATGAAAGCATTACAATTTTTAGTTTAAGCTTTCATTATCAGTTTATACGCTTTCAAAGAAGAAGAGAGGGGGGAGGGGTAAGACAGAAAACAGAAAAAACTAATTAACAGAACAGTGTTAGCTCGTAGGTTCACATAGCAACTCAAGAAACGAAAGCGGTTACAGTTTATAAGATTGAGTGAGTGGAGATCACTGAATTATATGGACTAATTAATGTAATCAAAATCAAAATTCAGTTACCAAGGTAATGAGAGACTAATCACACACTCTTTCTGTATGCATAAATTTGGTTGAAATCGTTTGATTGCGATCGTTTCGGCAAATCGTAGTAAATTTGCTGTCCTTTGTCTATTTAATATTTTGAAGAACTTAGGAATCACTATGAGATGTCCGGTATCAACAATATGCGTCGGTGGCACAGTGGTTAGAACTCTCGTCGATCATGCATATGGTCCGAGGTTCTATCCCCTGTCGACGTACACCTGATATCTATGGTCGGCCTGCAAAATTTGGGCTACCGATATCCATGCTGAAAATTCCATACTTGTACCAAAGTACAGTGTGGAATCAAGCTGTAATCAAAAATAATTGCACTCGCTTCCTTTTAAGCACAAGTTTCTTGGAATATGTTCGGAAAACGGGATAGAAGCCCTTCTTTCCGTCCTTCCAATGTACTTCCTCCCGCAAGTGCACGTAATGTTTACATTCTGGATGCGTCAGTTTTATAGTATTTCTTCTCTACTACCACTTAAACATTAAAGTATGTTATTACCATCTATATAACCATTGTAATTTCAGGTAATGGTGTGCAGCTGATGAGAACCTGTGAAATAGAATGATATCATTTTATACTGCGTAACTGGTGTTTCTTTCACTATCGAAATTTATCAAGGGAACCAAATATATGAGACTTTATTTCTCGCTTACTCAACCTTACCAGGCAGGGTTGGGGTGTTCGGAAATCCAAGGATGAACACGTCCAACTATACAGCCTATTTAACTGGCTGCACATAAATCACTCAAGAAAAAACCTTATCTGGAAATTATTACTTAAGCGTTTTCATCAGTATCAAATGAACAAAACTATATATATAACACAACATTTGAACTAGAAAAGACACAGACCAACATATAAGTTATTTATTATTATTTGAAATAGTTAGTATTTAATCTATTCAACTTTGTAACAAAGCCAGAAAAAAGTAAAAAATAAAGAAACTAACAGACAGAAAAGTAGAATATTGCGTTAAGAAAATCAAAAAGCGAATATATATATAAGAGTTCTCTTCTTCTCTTTTTTTTCGTTTGTAGTATGAATGAATCATTGAATGTGGTGAAGAATCTAATGGCGTGAAAAAAACAGTTATACCTGAGTGTGTTGAATTGATTGATGATGAACAAGTCTTGTTAACTTGTAGCAGTAAATGTTATTTGACAATCATATCTAGGCAACGCTATCGGCGTTCATTCAAACTGCTATATATATATACATACTGGGGATATGTAATATCATCGTTCTCATTCATAAAAAAAAATAAATAAATAGAGCAAACAAACAGTTCAATGAAACTCTTCCCCTATAACATCAAAACAAAACAAGAAGTAACAAAAATAGTGAAAGAACAATTGGCAATATTTTCTCGATGGATATTAGTATAAAAATGTCTTACATATATTTTTATTCATTTAGTATATAGGTGAGTAATTTGTGAGTGTAGGAGCCCATTGTTTTAAGAAATCATTCCATTTAGCAGATAATAGGCTATAACAAAGATTTCGATCACGTAGATCCGACCAACCACCATTAGCTCTTTGCGTAGGAATAACACGTGATACACTCCTTGTTAAATACAAAGATGTTGGATATAATTTCGTCAGTAGAGATCCACTGAATTTTTGTAAAATATTTGTAGCGAGTAATTCGGATGAACAGACTTTGTTTTCATGATGAAGTCCTCGACTAGACAATATAATTCAAAAACAAAAAAAGAAAAGTAAACAAATTTAAGTGAATTTTAGATTTTCCCGTCGATTGATTGGACCGAAGTGCTCGGTCTCAGGTTGACATGTCGGCTTCTTTTGGAGATGCTTCGACGATGTCTGGGTACTTAGTTAGTGTTTAGTTGGTGGATGGTGACTAGCAGTGGAATCCAAGATAAAGCGCATTTCGTCCTATTTGGGCCTCGTCATCTGGATGCGCCTGCATTTCTCAGTGAGTGATGATGTTCCCACCGAGGCTCGAATCCAGGACGAAATGCGCACCCTGGATTCCATTGCTAGTCACCATCCACCAATTAAAGTAAACTAATGTTTAAAAAGATTGATGAGTGAACAAAGAATATTTCTTTTCGATAACTTCTTCATCAGGTTCCACAGTTATATGACAATAACTAGAGAATTAATGTTATTGGAAAAAAAATTACTATTCTTTCAGTAACATTGAATCAACAGCATCGAGTAATTCAATAATTCGAAGGCACCTGCGTAAGTAAGACTATCGTGGGGAGTGCTACTGATAATATTTATCAGTAGTATTTACGGAGACGTATATCGGCATAAAAACATCAAATAGCAGGGAGATATATATTTATTATGTTAGAGAAGGCAAATGATACAGCATTGTGAAGATACATGGGCGACGTGAAATAAACACAAAGAAACACTACCTGAAGTCTAAAAGTACCACAACAGAAAGATCTGTGCAAATGGTGCGTTGAAGATAAGGTATACATAATTTAGCTATGCAGAGATACCAGTCTTCTACTATTACTAGACGATGGGGATTGTCTGAAAACATATGTGATGTACTTGCACAATACATTTCGAACAATCTGATCCATCACACATTTACTTCGCAAGTCAATTTATGTGAGAAATAAAGTTCAACTATAGTACACGAAGTGATGAAATAGATTGAATAATAATAATAATAATAAAAACATTACGTTTGGTTATCTAATCAGAAGAGGATTACTAAGATAGGTGAGGAGTAATAATAAATTGTCACGGGCAAATAAAGTACGATTATATTTTAATGATTTACACACAATGATAAGTTTTTGTTATTGGTAATATTTCGAGCAAAACTGCTGCTGTATTCACACCAACTGTTGGAATTGTTTTGTTTTAGTGTAAACACCGGCAGTAATTTTGCTCGAAATATTACCAATTACAAAAACCTATCATTGTGTGTAAACCATTGAAATGTAATTATACCTTATTTGATCTATTCCACAATACTCAAACTTTTTACTGACATTAATGGTCAAGGGTGCTTATTGAAATATACTGAGGCTATAGCTATTCATAAACTTAAGCCTATGGGTGTTCAAAAATAATTTGTTCTTACTACTAACCTTATCTGATTGCATAATTAAACGTTGTGTTAATTATTATTGTTCTTATTCGTGAATTCACTTTAGTCACTTCGTCTACTTTAATTGCCCTGTTACTTAAGCAGACAAACCTCCCGTTGTTATAAGCGAATTATACAATCACCTCTGCTGTTTTGAGTGTTTGATGTTAGCAGGCCTTTGGTAATTTCTTCGATAGGTGACGAAAAAAGACTCTGTTTAGAAAAGGTGATCTAATATTATTTATTTATTTTTATTTTTGATTACAGCTTGATTCCACACCGCATTTTTGGTACAAGTATGGAATTTTCAGCGTGGATATCGGTAGCCCAAATTTTGCAGGCCGACCATAGATATCAGGTGTGCGTCGGTGAGGGCTCGAACCCTGGACCATGTGCATGGTCGGCGAGAGTTCTAACCACTGTGCCACCGACGCCTAACATTTCCTGATTATTTCTCATCTAGTATTCCAATAAGGTATAGAGATACATGCAGATATCGATATTATTATTTCTCCCTTGGGTTCCGAGTGGAACATAGGGCTTCATCAACACATCTGTACTTTGTTCCATTTTTTATTGTCCTCTTCACTTGGGTTCATGATTGCCCATAATTCTTCACCTCCTCTTCGCCACACGATCTCCTCCATGTCACCCTAGCACTGACGACCCACTCGTCGTTTCCCATTCGGATTCCACTCGAGCAATGGTCTGAATTGTGCGTGATGTCATTCGATGGTCTCCTCAGTGTATGCCCAATCCACCTCCATTTTCTCCTACGTATTTGTTGAGGCATCAGCTCTTCTTTGGTTTGTTCCCATAGTTTGTAGTAGCCGATTCTTTATGACTGGCCAGTGTGATCCTCAATGTAGAGTGAAGGCAGCTGTTGACAACAGTCTGGGGATGCTTTTCGTGATAAGCAGTGCAGGTTGCTAATCCATATAGACGAAATGACTTCCCAATTGTGTTGTAAATCCTAATTTTACAGGTCCCCATTCTTATTATTGCCTTCATAGAAAGAATACACATCGACTGACTCACTGGTTTTCAGAAGACCTTTCTCCAGCCAGCGTTACCTCGTCTCTCCGATTCCGGCGAAGAATAAGTTTTTTTTTAAAAAATACTTTTAATATTCTTATTGTGCGTTGAAGTTTCTGTAGCAGTTTGATTGATTTTCTGGGAATAGAGTCGCTAGCACCACCACCAGACCTCCCTCTCTCCACAGGCTTGAGACAGACTAGAAAAAAAAACTAGCAAGCTAGTAAACTGGGCGAGATTGCAGATATCAATCGATTAATGTAAAACACAAAATAAACTAAAATGTTTTATGTTTTCTAACCGATATCCAAAATGAAATTGAGGTTTGTGAACTGAGAAATATGCTCAAGGATTATTCATGATCAAGTTGAATAGGGAAGAGATGAGGAAGCAGGTAATATAGAATCAGTTGAAGTTGGCACACATCTAGCTGAGTACGGATTGTTGTGGGCAATAACAATAAAAGAACAAAGGACGAATACATTTGCAGGATAATACTACGAGCTCGTTTTATTTCAACTGCGTATGTCATAAACAGTAACAAAAAAAATAAAAGTCACGAGATTTCTCAAGATACTTTTCTCATAGTGATGTTGAGTAATACACAGAAAGTATGTGGAACATCATACCGAACTGATGTAAGTTGACAAATTATTCAGTGCTAAAACATTAACTATTTATCTTTGATTGACAGTAGTCAGTAACTAGTGTAATGTGTCTAGTCCTATCTTTTATTTATTTGAACGCATAAAAGGCTTGGTACAATATGGCACCAAGAAAGATGCGCCACACAATAATAATAAAACAACATAGATAAAAAAAAAAAAAAATATAAGTAGAGAACGGATAAAGAACTTCATCTGGAAGGAAAACAGTCATGCTTAACAAGTTCAAACAGTGTTCGTTAACTATCATCGGGAAGGGAAGAAAGAAGGAAATCGCAACACATTCGCCACTGATTACGATTCTTGGCCATATCCGATAACGTTTCGAGCCATCGATTTGAGCTATCTCTCGGACCCCAACCAGGGAGTCGTGACACACCAACCGATGCTAATCTAGCACAAAAATCCTTCATCCCACGACGCCACGTCATGGACTGACCACCTCTCCGCCTTTTCCATCCCGTCCCAGGGCTAGCGAACAGAGACCTGTACGGAAGCCTCTGGGGTGACATTCGCAGCACATGTCCAAGCCACCGGAGCCGGTGTTTCCAGATGACGACATTCAATGAATGGTGATCTCCACTGTGTTCAAACACACGCCGCCGAACCTCAGAATTACTCACGCGATGATGCCATCGAACGCAAGCAATCCTGCGGAGACAGCGGTGATCGAACACGCAGAGTCGCCGCACATCCTCAGCTCGGAGAGGCCAGGTTTCACAGGCGTAGAGCAGCGCAGCCCGCACCGAAGCATTGTATACCCGACCTTTGACAGCCAGGCTAACGTCGCGACGGCGCCAGAGGTGGCTCAAGTTGATGTATGCCACCCTAGCCTTCATTATACGGTTGGAAATCTCATCCGTCACCCCTCCGCCAGCACTCACACAACTACCCAGGTACACAAACTTATCAACAACTTCAAGCGGTTCACCCGCAAGAGTGAGTGCAGGTACAGGCTCCTGCCAATCTTGTAACAGTACTTTGCACTTAGACGGCGCAAAGCACATACCATACTTACAGACACTGATCGCCAACTGATTAAGTGCGATTTGGGCAGCCTGCATGCTATCGCACAGTAAGACGATATCGTCTGCATACTCGAGGTCGAAAAGTCTATCTCCAGGTAGCAGATCTACACCACCTTCACGCACATCCTTCAGAGCTGACTCCAGAATGTCATCGATGGCAAAGTTAAAGAGAAATGGAGAGATTGGGCAACCCTGTCTAACCCCACTGTTGGTTGGGAACAGTGGTGATAGTTGGTTGTATGCCCTCACTCTACCTGAGGTGTTTCTGTATAGGGCTTTCAGATGTTAACAAATTTCTCAGGTACACCTCTCTCTAACAGACAGTTCCAGAGCACAGTTCTGTCCAACGAATCGAAGGCAGCCCTAATATCAAGAAACACAACGATCGTTGGCCTGCAATACGTGTGGCGGTGTTCCAACAACTGACGAAGGGTGAACACATGATCAATGCATCCACGACCTGAACGAAACCCAGCCTGCTCTTCGCGAATCAATCCTTCACGTATTTTGCACAGTCTGCGAAGCAAGACAGCAGCCAATATTTTAGACGCGACTGGTAACAGACTGATACCCCTATGATTGTCACACGAATTACGTCGACCCTTTTTAAAGATGGGGACGATAATGGCTTCGTTCCACATTGATGGTACACTCTCTGTCTCCCACACCTTCCTGAACAACCCAGTTAGAGCCATTGTGAGAGTCTCGCCACCATCTTTAAAAAGAGCCGGGGGTAATTTGTCTGGGCCGGGCGCCTTATGGCGTTTCAGAACTTGGAGTTCCTTACGGACCTCCGCTTCGGTGGGTGGGTCGGTACTAACCGACCAAGGGCTAATGATAGTAGACACTGAAGCTGGTGGCCAGCTGAACTGCTTCC